TAACATTATGTAAAATACTCCAAAACCTACACTCTGCTGTTCTGAATGCAGTTACTCCAAAATACCCTGAAGAACCAAATGCTGCAACTTAAAGCCAATAATACCAATTCAGTAGGTATATAACATCTGCCAGTGTATGGAAACAAAGCCAGAATAGATGATTTAATTCACAGAAAATATGGAATTTGGTTAGTATCCTTCAATGATTGGTTGTCTTACTAATGGTAGGATTTGTTTGATAATAGCCAACTGTAAATAGCATTTGTATCATGTAACCATGTTACTGTGATTCCCACCCTCCCCTTGGCTGGGGGAATTTGGGTTTGATCATGAGTTACTGAGACAGAATTACCAAAGTACAGTAAATCCAACATAATACTTTCTTACCCCAAAATACACATTCCAAAACACTGGAAGAACACGGATTTTTTTTTTTTTTTCGTGTGTGTGTATTACTCACTCAAAAAACAGATGAAAAATAATACAGTTCAGGAAGCTTATGTGTGATTAAAAGAATGTACTGTGCATACATCTTAATATGCAACATATACAGAGTTCCAATTGGAGTCACATGGAGTCACAGAAGAGATTTGTAAAGGCGAAGTAGGAGTTACTTCCAGAAATCGAGACAGAGGGTCTAAAAATTAGCTTTACTGGGATTTTATTTCTGCTTTGCATGCAAGGCTGTAGCATGTTGGAATCTCATATGCATTCATGCAGTATTTGTCTTTTAAGCATGACTAACATTCTGAGAAAAAGGTTTAATACGCAGTTGGAGCCTAAAAGAGCCACTTGGAAATTCAGGATCCAAGTCCATGGTGTATAGTCTCTCCTGGAGACAGGATAACTTTTTTCCTACATGTAGGTGGGGAGACTGAGGCTTGAGCAGAGCTGGCTGTTAGGGGGATGCTTTTGGTGACAAAGGGACACTGTCCCTCCTGGAGCTGCCAGGCTGTAACCTGCTTTGAATGTGCCTCTCTCCTCTACTTTCTAATCAATTTGAAGGGGTCACTGGCCACACCAGGCATCTGTGTAGCTGGTGGGGTGCACAACTTCTTTTGAATTGTCTGTCTCCAGCTTGCATTATCAGGTTACTTTTCTTTCAGAGGCTGCATAAGAAAACAGGCCTCTGCCCAGTGCCAATTATAAGTACAAAGAAAAGCCTTTTTGTTTGGGTTTGCCTTTGATGTGTGTCGAGAGGAAGCGTGCAAACCACACTGCTGGGTTAGCTGACCTCTCCGTGGTGAGTTCCAGTTGCATTTACGTTTCAAATAGCTATAAAAAGTGAAGGGTTTTCAAAGCCATAACTCCAAATTGTTCCCAGCACAAACCCCAGACAGCTGCACTTTGTGCTGGGAAATGCCTTGAAGGCTGAAGGAAGGAGCCTTCCCTCCAGGCCATGTAGATGTTTTACAGCTGTACGTGTGGCCTTGAGGTTAAAATGACTTCCTTGGAGATCCCCTCCATAGATGGGTTGGCCAGGGTCCCGAACGCTGCTGTGGGGAGAGGAATGTGCTGATGGGAGATCTGCACATCCTCACCTTCCAGGGATGCCTTTCAGCACCCTCATCTCTCTTGGCACACACTGCCTGCATTTGGGCCCTCCTAATCCATAGGGACAGGTCTGGCCAGCCCAGAGGGAGATGGGGCTGTGCCCGAGCCCTGCCAGCCCGAGGTGCTGAGTGCTCCTATTAACTCTGTGGGGAAGCACAGGACTCCTGGGCTGAGACTGTGCTGACACCAGGGCCTTGTTTCTGGTCACTCAAGCAGGGTTTGTTTTATATACCCTGAGCTTTCTTAAGCAGCTCTGGAAGATCCAGCTCCAACGTCTGCTTAACAATTATGTGAAAACTAATTTAATAAAAGCTCTGCAATTAACAGGCTGAATTCATGTAGCTCATATTCTTCAGGGCCTCATCTGAAGGCTTTTCAGTTCTTAATGGGCAGAACTTTGCAGATGCTGCACTGATCCACTAAGCTCTGCTCTAATATTATTTAAAAGTAATTGCCCTCACCATGTTGTTTCTGCTTTGCTATTTCTAAACTATGCAAAATTCAGGAAGCTGGCTCTTGCACATGATTATAAACTGCTGGCTGGGGTGAGATACCTAATGGGCAGCTAAAATATAATAAAACATTACATGCATTTTCATATTGTGCACCTTCTGTTTACATATTATTCACAAGGGACTCTGAATTTGCTTCACAATAATAACCATGAAAGGAAAAAATTATTTTCTAAGTAATGAAGTAATGCTTTATCTAAAGCAGAAGGTTTTTGGCATGTACTTCTTCCCTCAAAGAATTTTGCTTGAAAAGGGTATGAAGAAAATCTCAATAAAATTTTAAGATTTGACCTATTGCTGATTATATTAGAAAAGCACAGGAGAGAGTCGTGACAGGAATGTAACAGGATCGAGAAGGAAAGTAGGGTGCCAAGTGTATCCCTTTAAAATTAAAATTTTCTGCTTTGTTATTAAGAACAGCAGGTTTTATTAGTGGCATATAAACAACACTGAAACCTGGAAGGGACAACTAACAGCAATCCACAGCTTGTTAAGTCCATGATAGAAGGTTATAATTCATATGCCATCTGGAAATTTTGTTGAGGGCTGCTCTCAACATGAGCAGCATTTGGTACAAAATATTCTCCTGCAGGAACATGTCTCATAGAACAGCAAGAGAACTGAGGGGTGACAATTTTCATAAATCGTTGATAAATTCTGTGAAGGAAAGAGATTACTTTATTTTCACCTTTGACTTATTGATATTACTCTGAATTAAAAAGTTTCACTTAGATCCTGAAGTCTGAGTGCTCTCTTGTTCCTTCCTGACTGGGACTGGTGATCTTTAGACCATGCCATGTCCCACAGACAAAAGGTCCTGCCACAGACTTTACCTACAAACTCATTCTGGATAGCTGGCAGGAAACTGAAAATGGGAGAAAAACATAAAAGTGAAATTTTAAGGATAGCTTGATGGAATCTACCAGCTTGTCTGCCACATAAGAAAAGATGGGAAAACTTGTTATATTTAGGCTAATAAATTAGAAGACAGGTGATGTGTCATACATATCAGAAGGTAGATGGTAGTGAGAAGAGATTATTTAAGTGATAACACTGGCACATGAAAAAATTCATGGTGACTAAAAGCTATTTTAGATTTTATGTAGGAGAGACCATTAATTTTTAAGGCAGGGAAAGCCCAGAGCCCTGCAGAAATTTAGCCTCAGGAATTGTCTGAGGCAAATCAGTTTAATTTAGCATTTAACAGAGAGCAAATGCATGTACAAGTGGCAGTGCAATCAAGCTTTCAAGGAGACTTCCAAGCAAAACTGCAGTCACAGATGATTAGCTAAGTTTGTTAAACACAGCACATCACTTATAAAAATGTTAAGGTAAGTCATGGCCTGAAGTAATCTGATGTGGATGTCAATTATCTGAGCAGTCGGTGATTAAACCTAGACTTTTCTGATAGCTGTGGCTGTCTCCACATTGTTTTGAAGTGTTTGACCTTGAATAATATTTACTGAACTGGATGTCTATGGCCACAATATCACACAACATATTTTGGAGTTGTGGAAAAATGAGCTCACCAAGGGCACACACAACACACAGCCTGATCCACAGACAGTGACTGATGTCAGCCCAGAAAACAATCTGATTTTCATATATCCTGAAAATGCTCTCTGCTTGAATGGACATTCAGAGATGTTTTTGACAAAGTAAGTCATCAGTTTTCCTGCTCTCACCAGTCATCTTTAAAATGGCACTTCCCAAAGGTGTGTTCTCCTCTGAGATCCGCACCATTAGTCATGTTGTTGATTCAGTCAGGCTCCCCAAAGCCTGGCCTGTGTCTCCTATCAGCTTCTTCTTTATGCATTCTTTATTTTGAATTATTGCTGAACCAACACTGTAATACAGTAACTCTGTGTACACAGAGTGTATTTTATATTAACATTTTCTTATTGTGCTCAGGAAGACCCTCAGGAATAATCTTTAATTTTTAAAGAATGCTGCATTAAAATTGTTGTTCCCACTGAAAACACTGGGACTCTCCCAAGAGGCCATAAAATTACATGAGATTTAGATTTAGGTACTATAGGGTCCTCCCCTTAGTATGGGAAAGATATAAAAGAAGGCTTAACTTCTTTCAGCCCAGTTCAAAATGAGACCCACTACAGCACCAGCTCCATAGTGCTGTTTTTAGAATAAAAAGCTGTGAAAATCAGAGCTGCGGACCTCAAAGTCAGTGAAGCCGTTCTTTAAGATTTAATCATTGCATGTATTTGGAACACTAACATTTTTTGTCTTATTAGTATTGTAAGAATCACAACTTTAGTCATGCCTAAATGCAAACCTTATAGAAATGTCCTTTGCAAGCTTAAAGTCATGAAAAAAATTGATTTAGAGTTGGGAAAATATAATTCTGTTTGAGATTCTGTTTTGTTTTCCTTTTAAAAAAGAAAAACAAAATCTTGTTTCATCTCAGAAACAAGTTTTCCCCTTTAATTTGTCAAGAAAATGGAAAAAAATATTAAAAATACTATGCTGGTAAAAATACTCTTCTGTTACATTCTGTTTTATAAGCACAGTCTGCACAAAGAAATTCAGCTGCAGAAACCATTGTTTGAAGTGGGAAGCTGAGACTTTCTGACAAATTGCAAATAGCTAACTTGAAAAAGTGTTCCCTGGTATCTTCCCCTGAATAAAAAAGAACATGTCTCTTTTGACACGTGTTCTTGCTATCTGCTGATCTCAGCATTTAAGAATGTTTTGGGATAGGACAGGACTGTATTAAGGGAACTTGGATGAGTAAATCCTCTTGTGGCTCTTTAGGAAGTTATAATCTGCAAAAGGACTTCACTTCAAGGAATATCTTCTACTTAGAAGGCAAAAAGGGAAAATTAGAACTCCCTATTGCACACAGCTTGCTATCTGATTTTTCCCCTCGTGTGTAGCCAGATTTTTCTGAGGGAAAAACTTTAACGATAATTGCTTTTTCCATAGCAGAGCAAGGATTTTTTGAACAGATGCTGACTGATTCTGTTCTGTGCAATTGCACTGGCGGCTCTCAGAGTACTTATTCAGGGCTGCCAAGTTATGAAATGTTTGAGGTACAAGCAGAGTGTGAATAAAACTTTTATTGCTTTGAACAAGACATCTCGGCTCAAAATTCCCTTGCTTACATTTGTGTGGATATTAATGACCTGTTAGTTAAATGTGGATATAAAAATGTCAGATGGACTAAAACAGATCGAATCATATTCCTTCTTAGTTTTGCCCTTTAAATGTTTTATGGTTACTATCACTGGGTTTCCCTCCTCTTCTCATGTTTTGTGTTTACTAGCTGTTACATGGTCACCTTTTTAAATACAAATACAGCCACAAATCAGTGGCAGCTTTTATTGCTTTTATTTATACCAACAGAGTTGTTGTCTCTGTGTTCATAGATGAGGGAATAATTTCTAAATGGGATGAATTAAGAACTCCTTATATTCTTCTCTATATTTGAGATATTTCTGAAAAATAGCAGGTTTCCCAGGGTCTAAAATCTTACAGATATGCTAGGAGAATCTTCAATTAATCCTCTTAAAATCTGTCTCAAGTCTTTAAATGCCATTGTTGTTGTATTTCCAAATTCTAGATTATACTTTTATGTTTGCCAATATTTTTTTCTAAAGAAAGTTTTATCATTTAATCTGATAATGATTAAAAATTAGTGATATGACCAGTCTTTAAATTTTATTCTATTCTTTTTCTCTTCTCTCAGTGTGATTTTGTAAGAGAAGACAAGTAGGAAAGGCAAATATGGAAGAATTTTTTGTTTCAGAAAGGAAATTGATGTGTTTAAATACATTGCAAGAGAAAATGAAGTTTCCGTATTTTATATAAAATGAATGTATCATTTTCAGCCAGACCTAACTACTAATACTTATTAATGATATTACTTAAGTAATTACACAGCATTGCAGGAATGATAACTAATGCTAGAAATTGCACAGTGAATTCAAAGAGTGCTCCCTTTCTGGTGCTGCAGCACAAACCTGATCTGGACGAGATCCTAGGCAGTAATGCTGAGCAAGTTCAGAGTTACAACAACATCGTATTTTGCTCTTCTTGTTGCTACAGATTCCAAAGGCTATAAAATTCTCCCATGTTTCTGATCCTTCTCATAATATTGTTGTGTGATACTGTAATGGTGCAAGAGTTGTCAGCACCCTGTGAGCCAACATCTGGAAACCATTAATGCTTCATGGGGCACAGGATGGCACAGACACCACTGATGCGTCTGGAAAGAGCAAAACCTCTCTGCTGTGCCCTGGTAGGGTAGGTGATTGCCAGGGGAAGGCTGGGAATCTCTCAGGATCCTTCAGACAGTCTCCTGGCACATATACAATGTCTGAACTTATAGTATGACCGGGAACCTGAATGCTCCATGTGAAAAGGATGTGGAATATTGCTCTCCTGGTTTTTTGTTAGCTACAATCTGTTAGTGACAGTCCAGTCTGTACAACGTGACAGCTACATCTGTGTGGATAAATTTCCCATCTGAAACAAATCTGAAACCAAATATTTTGAACTTAATTGCATGTCTTGCATAACATTTGATTTATTCATCTGCACAGTGGCTCTGTGGCACATGGCAGCAGTCACAGGTAGGATGCCTTGTTACATGTGACATGAATGATATAAGAGCATTTTTCCATGCTGACATGGTTCATCTGCTCAAACTTAAAGAGCTCATTTAGCAAGGTATCCTTATTTTTTCATCTTTCCTTTATTCTCTTGTACTGGTAGCATCGATTAATTATTCAGCTCCATTTTAAATATTTTAAATGCACATCTTGTAGGACAATTTATGCAAGACCAATTTTGTCTGATTATGACATATTTTCCACAGAATCTAGAAAAGTTCACTAAAAGTCAAGAACTGTATATTTTTATTACTACTTTTTTCTGGACACTTTCTTTGTTTATTAATATCATAACTGGCAACCCTTTTCAAGCTCCTTTGACTCTCCTGGTTCTGCCAAGAGCTGGGACTATTCAGGCTGGAGAAAACTGCAGAAGACACAAGTAGAAGTGATGCTGTCTTTGTGTTTTTTTTTTTTTTTTCCCAGAATGCCTGCAGCTATGATTTTCCACTCAGTGAAGATTTTTGCCCCAAAGGAATGAAGAGTAGGCAGATGCTCAAAGAACAAGTGATATGGATCTAGGAGATATTAAGACCTGCAGCTCTTGACAAGCTACAATCTTTTGCAAACAGAATTACAATTAGCTGTTTTCTGATGGAATTTCTAAGGACTCTTGGTGGTTCAGAAAGAGAATTTTAACTTCTGATATGCCTCGTTTTCTGTCAGTTATGCAGAGGCAATGGAAAACATTTGTCAAAACAGATGGCAGGTTTAGCCCCCCGACACTGAATACAAATAGGAAGTTCAAGGTCCAGTTAATGGCTGCTGAGCCAAGAAACATTTGGAAACTTAGTTTAGCATTGAATAGACCCCAAAGAATACACTGTTACAATTCCAGGACACCGTGGCTATGGCCACACTCGGTATGCTGTGAGCAGTTTCGCAGCTTATGCTTCCAGCCAGAACGAAGAACTGCTGAGGTGCACAAAAACTGAGATGTAGCAGCTAACATGGTTTTCAGGATTTTTGAGAAGACAAGTTTGACAGCTGCTTCAGCCCAGCAGTACATTTCTTTGTCCAGTGCTTCCTGACATTTTATTGCCACTCAGTTGCTTTTCCTACACTAAAATAAATATCTGAAAAGCAACCATGTGCATAAAATATACAAGGAGATGAAATGTGAAAATCTCTGGTTTTTCTATTAAATCATACTGGCATTTATACTGAAGTAAGTTTCACAGAACCTCTAGGTAAATTGTGCAAAATATGATCCGTGGAACTGAAATGTTTTAATTACCAATGGCATAACTACTGAAAGCAAAATAAAGTCACAGAGATGTTTTACATACATCCAGTGAAACAAATACTGAGGTAATTTGTACTGATTAATAATTAAAAAGGTTCTTGCTGTGATTGAAACAATTTACTGTTAAATGAGCAGAGGTTACTTGCCTGAATTTGGAATAAGAACATAGAGAAAGTTTCTACAAAGTGTTTGTAATCATGATCAATGCTTTAAACAGACCCTAATCAAGATCCTAATAAATTAGAAAGGTAGGTTTTTCCTATGGAATGGGTACTCACTGCAGTGCAGTAAATGCAAGGTTAAACTGCACCATGTCTGTCTCTACCTTTGCATACATCAGGAATTAAGCATCAGAGACCAGAAGTGTAGCACTGTTGAAAGCACAACTGACCTGTCAGTTTTGCATACAAGTCCCTGTCACCAGGTTCAGAATCTTTCTTCCCAGTTGGGTATGGCAGAGCTCCCTTCTTTCTTCACACTGAGGGGAATGTACAGCAGAAATTTAAAATCAAGAGCAAGGGCTAAAAGATCACTTTTGGGAATTACTTCCTAAGGATTAGTTTAGGACTAATTTACTTTTTTTCCTCCTAGAATTTCATGAACCTGTGGGATGGATGTCATGAGTGAAAGCCAAGTTGCTGTTTGCTATATCTTAAGGTAAGTTGTTAAATACCCAGTGTTATTACTTTTTTTTGTTTATTTGGAGCTGAAAAGAAGCATTGATGTGTATTATACTCTGAGTAATTTGCAAGTGAGTATGGAACAATGGCAGGTTTAATTTCTACACCAGTGGTTTCAGACTGGACCTAGAGACCAAATCAGATAATTAAAATCCAGGTAATATTATAAAGATGTGCAATTCTTTCTCTTCAAAACCCTTGTGATCTTCATGCAACAAAATTGGCCATTATGCCACCATTGCTTCCTGCAAAGCAGAACTGAGAGATCTGTGAAGAAAACTGTTAAGTGTTCCCTTAGGATGGAGGCACTGATGATCAGCACAGCAGCAGCAAGCAGATGTTAGCACACCTCAGTTGGCAGGAAGATTCAATTTTTAAAATACTCTGTGCTCCAAATAACTGTGGCAGATGTACAGTGAAGCCCACAGAGCTGTGGGAGCTCATCACTAATACTGAGGGTTTTGAATCTTCATGACAGATAACAGCTTGCTGTAGCAGCTATCTCCAGAGGGTTGCTGTTATTTGGAAGCAACACATTTCAGTGCCTCTTTTCTTGACAATACCTGGTACTAATTTAGTCTACTGTGTCTAAAGATCCCTGTGGACAAGGATCTATCTTGAAGGAAATGGCTTTCAAGACCCAAATTGAATGATGAAGAATTGCAGTTGCCAAATTTGTTTACATAGATGGGTTTTTAGCTGAGACTTTCACTGTGTGGTTTGACACTAAAAAAATCAATTTCTGTATTTAAGCACTGGGAAACAGTATAAGGGAATAAAAATGGATGTACAAAACTAGAAAACAACTCCTTTAACTATATCCATAATTTAAAATAGAAAATAAAAATCATTAAGTGAATTGCATTTTCTCAAGTCTGGTAAGGAACAAGGCATTTCTCGCTGGATTTGTGAATCTGTTTGGTACTGTGCAAACAAAAGAAATGCTCTTTTCCCTTAATACTTCTATAAACCTATGTTCTGCCGCTTTAATCTACCAGTGACAATAATGAAGTATTTTATTTCCTGATTTGTTGTTACTATTAAAGCTACGAGCTTAGATAATTTTGTTAAAACACAATTAAAATTTAACAACTTGCCTAGTTATCCTCCTAGTCAAATTTGTCCTCATTTGAAAGGGCTCTTTTCTAATTTTGACTTATTAAATTCTGTAAGAAAGATCAAAGGTGCCCTCTTGTTCCTTATTACAGAGGATCAATGGATCAGATAATTCAAGGTTTGATAAAATATCTCAGTGAATTCAGCTGTATGCAGTAATTATTATGTTATTAGGCCATTTTACAGTAAGAATTAAACTCCCAGTCTTTTTGTAAACAGCAGCAATACACGCTAAACAAATACTTCTTTCCTGAGAAACATGGTTCTAGTTTTGTTTCGTATTTGAAAATGTACCATGTCCTTTTCAGTTGCTAAGCTGTGTGATTTACGAACTGCTCTCGATGGATTGTATTGGCATCCCATCAGGACTGCATTCTAGCCTTCCTCCCTAAAATACAGGCAGTTCTAAGAAAGCAGCACTATTCCTGTGAAAACAACATTTATACGTTGCCCTTGCGTGTTTATCCTCAGCATCATCTTACTGGGAACATGCTTAACCTGCCAAAAGCTCTTCTGAACTCTGACTGCAAACCATTCCAAAGTCTAAATTTCTCATGCAAATGCCATATGACCTCAGGTAGGTAGAGAACTCCAGGTTCTCTGAGCACATTATCTGTAACCAACTTCTCCGAGCCTTTTGGCTGCTGCATATTCAAAGCACTGTTTACTTATTGCCCTAGTCAGACTGCATAGCTTTTATCCAGGCAGTTTGTTTTCAGTCTTACCTCAGGGTTCACAACCTCATCGTGCTGAGAAGTCTGACCCAGGTGCATTATCCTGAAAACCTGGGGCTTTTTATTTCTTTGATTAACTCCCATGGCTTGCAAGTGATCCAGCTTTTGTTCAGCCGCTGTTCTGAAGGCTGGTGCATGGCTCTGCACGGCTTGGGCTTTCCTTAATCAACATATGGACTATAATATATTGGTTGTTTTGAGTCTGATGTCATGGGGAAAAGTGTTGCTTCAGTCAGTATGGAAACTTGCCCGGATACCTTCGCATTGTTTCTTCTTTGACTGTAGTATCTGCTTGAAACTTTTCACTTGCCTTCTAATGGTTATTCCTGCTCATCCACAGGCTGTTTCCAGTCCAAATATAGTGCTACTTGATTGGAAAAATTCAAGAAGCTGTTCTCTTTTTGGCACAAGTTTAGCAATCCCAGCTAAATCCTTTCTGAAGTGCCATGGTTCAGTTTGTCATAGAAGGTCACAGGCTTGCTGAGGCTGTCCCTCTGGACATTTCAGCGACTTCTGTGTCTGCATAGCTACAAAAACTCGGCTGAAATCTGGAATGTTTTTCAAACCCTTTCTTCCCCTCCCTCCGAAGTGGCTGTGAGGAAGCAGCAGCCGAGGGTATCCTTCTGAAACTCCTATTGACCCTTAATATGGAATGTGCAGCCAGTTCAGGGCTGCACTGGGGTCCTGTGTTTGGGGTTTGTTTTTTGTACTGAGGGAGCCTTTCAGATGGTGTTTGGGAATGACTTTAAAAGAACAGTTAAATAATTTTATTTGCTTGTCTGCGTAGCTAAAGGATATTAGTCAGGGCAAACTAATGTAACTCCAGTGATATTAATAGAGCTGAGTTAGAACAACTGGAGAATAAGCCCTTAAATTCTAGGGAAATTATTATTGTACAGGCTGAGTTTCAAAGGCTCTAATGCTGTCTAATAATGTTAGGAGTCTCTAATACCCAACTAATTCCTAATTAGCTTTTCCTTCCCTGTTATGCTTTTTTATTTATGTCAGAGTTTTGCTGCAAGAAAACAAAAACTCTGTTCAAGATAAACCTGCCCTGAGCTGTGCCTACAGACATGTAGTACCTGTCCAGGACAAGAGGCTCAGCAGGCTCAGGGCTTGTACACTCCCACTGAAAAACTCAGAAAATCAAAATGTGTTTCTGCTTTGTAAATACCAACTGGGATTTTTCTGTAACTTCTAGCATGGCTGATTAGGAATGGATTTTCCTAGATACAAAGATACCATTCTAACTTGGAGGTTGTCTCACTGCCAGATTTCAATCTCCTCTTCTAAATCACTATGGCTCTTCAGAAAACAGATGAAAAATATGAGTGTTGGTGAAAGTTTGTTCTAAAAATGGCAGAACTATTTTCTACCAAACTTAATTTAAAAAAAATTGCCAAGACAAAGAAGAAGAAATTTTAACCTGGATATTGAAGTTTGGCTTTATAACTTTTCACACGTTATGGTGTTAGGGCTTTCTCCATGCCATCTGATTAACCACTCCAATTTTTGTCTGCATTAGAAACTTTATACAATTATGTAAGGAACAACAAGTATAAAGATTCTATTAGCTAAGGTACTTTGGATTTGTGCTGTGTGGGAAAGCAGGTTAAAAAACAAATAGAGAGACCTTGTAGAGGTAAGTCTGTCCTGGACACCCTTAAACTGCAATGCAGAAGATGACAAAATGAATCCATCTGCAAACAGATTAGAAATAAACAACTACTTGGATGCAATTTTTCTTTTATCCAGAAGCTAGGACAGAAGCCTTTTGTTACCTTGTCTAATCTATTACATTTCCAGGCTATCTATCAACACAGTTTCAGCTCTCCCCTTGCATAATATGATGAGAGAGAATCCAGGAGCCAGGCAGAGAATGTACGGACCATTGTGACACCTTTGCAGCATTAAATGGCTTTAGCTTAGGCAAAAGTGCCTGGCCCTTGGAAAGACCTCTTGGCAGTGACAAATATGCACATATTCTGATACTTTATGTCCTGAGATTTCTTCTTAGTTACTGTTCTCTCTGAAAACATTGTTTTTAAAATAGTGGAGATGATATCCAGGATATTTTTGCTATTTATAATTTCCATTGTTGCAGCTCTCTGGGGATGATTAAGTCAGATGACTTCAGTAGTGTGATAGCTATTGATATAAATAACTTTCCAGAAGATTTCCTTGTAACTTCAGAACAAATTAACCAGCAAGAAAAACATTTCTGAAGGAGTTTAGTTACCTAGCCATTTTCTGAAAACCACACTAGGCACTGCTCTGCATGCCGAAGAGATAAAAACCTTTAAAAGCTAATCTTTGAGTGCTTAGGATTTTAATTTTTTAAAAAAATCAATTATCAAACACCTAGGTCCCATTTTCAGGAGTCTTAGGCTCCTCAGTCTCTCAAGTATTTCTGACTACTGTGTTTTCTGAGAAATTTAGAGTAAAGGAGGAAATGCTTACCTAGATGAAAGCAAATATAAGCTGTATTCATCAGTGATCAGAAACAGAGTATAGTTCAATGAGTTGCTAGGGAAATCTGGCCCAAGGACAGGTAATTATCCAAAACTCTCCACTTGAAGCATACCTAAAGGTTTGCTGTTGGAAAAGGTCTTTCCTTTGAGATTTCCAGTATTTCCTGGCTTCAGGAAGGAAAGGAATAGTGGAAGAAGTGCTTCTCACTCTATTATGGTACTTCTGATCCCTGAAGAAGAGAGGTAGAGACATGGTGTGTGCTGAAAATAAACTAACAAAGTTCTAGTTGCTCTTTCAATCAGTCTGTTTCATTCCATGTTTTGGTTGCAATTTTAAATCATGTTTTTGTGGGCCAATGATGACAAAGGACCAAAGATTTCAGGTCTAAATAATGAAAGGTGAACCTCCTTATCATTCTTTTGCTTTCTGAGTTCATGCACCCAAATGCTCCAATTCTGTGTGCCAGTGCATGTGTGTGTAGAAATACAATTGGATAACCTCCTTAGCTTATCTGTGAAAGATTGAATTTTTAGACCTATTTGGTAATTGATTGAGAGACCCTGGATGAAGAATCTGCCCCTACAATTCGATTATTTAATCAGAAGAGACTGTCTTAAGTTAGCAACAGAAAATGCTGAAATATTTGCGGGACTCTTACTCTTTACAGTTTTCAGTTTTTTAATTTAAAACAGAAGCTGCTTCCTGTCCATAACAGGTCTACAGAGAGAATCCTATAAAGATCTGCTTGATTTACTGAAAAGACAGCTATGGAAGAAAAACACTCAAAGTTTTCTTTGAGGTAACTGCAGCTCTTTCCTTTAGCAGGATGAAACTATTTTATGTCAATGAAATATGCTATTTTATGTCAATTTTATGCCAATGAAATGCTCATCATGCCATGGCATGTCATCTGTTCCATAGAAATCACAAGTGGTCCTCAGCTCAGCAGTGATCCATGCACTTACAAACTTCCCTCTGAGTTACAGCCCTCTTTTTCTTGGAGAATGTTTGAGAAGTGGTACAGAGCCATCTAAAATTGGAAACCTCCTGAGAAAGAGTAAATGCCTTGGTCAAGGAAATATGAATATATTTGAGATTTAGTAAAGCCTCAGAGACTTTCAGTCAGCAGGGATTCAGAGTGGGAACAAGGCTGGCATCATGCACTCCTTGGTGCCAAGTGACTACAGTCCTTCCCTGTCATGGTAAAATTTATGTGTTGCTTAAGGTAAATGAAATGCAGTGAACCTGCCTGGGAAAGAGAAAAAAAAATTGTTCTTAATTGACTTGCATAATGCAAAGGTAGAGGATTAACATGTTTGTACAGTGAAATAAGTGCATTGTCGTGCTGAATTGCACCACAGCCACATTACTGTAGATGGTGGTGAGCAGTAACAAATGCTCTGGGAAGCGTAGAAAATGCTATTGTAGGATCAAATGCAACAATCTACCCATAGGGGAATGTTTTCCTTAATTAGAGACTTTATAATTTGGAATTATAGACTTGCATCTTTTCAAGGCACTTTTCTTATTTCCAGTTTAATCTAGATGACATTGTTAGCCTTAATATAAACTCTGGGAGATGCAATCATATCTGGGGGAAAGGGGGAAGCTTCACTTTGTGAGACATTATACATGCTAAAAGATAATCCTTGGGCAAACTGATTATCATACAAGCAGCTCACAAAAGTAAAAGATATTCTGTGTAATATTCCAAAAAGAGCAATTTGATCAAATCTACTTTGCATCTACTGCAAACTGAAAAGCTGCTTTAATTCTGGCCTAGTTTTCTAACCAGAAGTTCCTCCCTTGTTTCTTTGGACCCAGATAAAGAAGCATGTGCCTAAAAAAAGAGTTTATTAGTATTAATTTTCAGTTCTACTCATTCCACAAGTAAATGCATAAGTGCAATGTTTTTTCCTCTGCTCTTCAGTCTTCAGTTTTCTGCAGACTTTGGGTGAGTTGGAGCATTCACTGTCCATATAAAACACAGGACTGGGGCTGTTTCAGAATTTTGTTGGTGTAATGAGCTGAGAAGCTCTGCATTTCCACCCCTCTATAACATGTATTAATAAGGGAGAAGGTTCTCATGGGAATATACTATAAACAAGCATGATTCTCCCTTTCTCTTTTGTCACAAAATCCTGTACTTACTCTACCCACAGCTATTTCTTAAAATATCTTCTCACTGAAGTCACTGATTAATGCCAATGATTATTATACACTGGGTTTTGCTTAATGAGTTTCTACTTAGATTTCCATGAGATGAGTAAGCTCTTAAGGAGATCCTCTGCCAGGGCTTGTTAAATAAAACCACTTTTGTCCTTCAAACCAGGTATTGGATGAGGGGATAATGCACTTATTATTCACCTGAGGCCATCAGGTGCTGGTGTGAGCTAAATCTCTCCAGCAGATCCATAAAACCATGAGGAGAGACGTGGCCAGTGGATTATGTTCTCAGTCAAGTGTCATA